GCTCAGCTGAATCTTGATTTTACTGCAAGGTCTAGAAACTACACATAGTCTTTATCTGCAACAAATGCCTCTGCCGTTATTCCTCGAGGGTGTATACCAACTAGAGTGAAACAGGGAAAGACAAACAGTATATTCATAATATATTAACACTCAGCGCTGCAACTTAACAGTAACACCAGATTCAAATTCTGTCATATAAGGAATCATGCAGATATGGCACGGTTTAGCCCCTTAGTGCCAAAAAGTCCAAAAACTGGCAAAAAGAGATACAGGCCATACATGAGATGAGACATAATGGTATACAATGTAGTACATGAAAGCCAGTATTATAGCTCTTTATCAAGTGAATTAACTGCAAGGAAGCACAGATGAAGGTTAAATTGGATGAAGACTAGATGGTGATGCTCTGAATTCTCTCCCTGCTGGTGTGCAGCCCACAAACACATATGCAATAGGTGCTGCTTATGCTGTAGTATTGCGCTTGTGAGGCAAAGCTATGCTGCACCAGGGCACTCACTGCAGATTAAGGGTGTCCTAAATTAATGTACAGCAAGCTAGCCACTGAGCACTTGCTGGAATATATCTCACATTCATTTCCCCTGACAGACAACTAATGTTTCAAACTATTCCTAGTAGAACTAAGCACCAGTACAGTGATCTTTGCAGGCAGAGCTTAACACCAGAACAAGAACTAGCCCTGTTGTACTTACATTATGCTGCTGCTATGCAGCAGAATAGCTTGTTTTCTACAGGGGAGGGGGGGGAGGGAGGCATGGAGAAGAAAAAAAAAAAAAATGAAAACAAGATGTCAGCATTTCACTTCCCAGCAACTGACAGCCTTACTAGGTGTTTCTGGTAGAACTGGAGGGATTTTGCTGGGTCGTTATCACTCTACTCCTGTTCGTGTATTCTAGGCTTCTGTTGCATTTAAATACAGAAAAACCTCACTGCTACAGCCAGGTCTGTATTACAGCTGCCATTTGTTCTGTTTTTATTTCTGCCTTCTTCACTTTCCCACGTGACGTGCTTAAGAGCTTCTCACACATGACACAACAGAAAATACCATCTTTTTTTTTTTTTCTTCTGTCTCAAACTTGCTCTTTCAGAAAGAACAGGAAATGCTTCCATGTACAAATGACATTACAACAAAGTATCTTCAAAGTCCTTACAGATAAAAGTTTATTTCACCCAGCACGTCCCCTACTCACCACTCAGCTCACTTTAGGAAACAAAAACACCTCCATATTTAGCATTTCATCCTTACTCTCTTTCTCTGTCAGATAAATTGTAAGCAATATTACACTAGTGTTTCTCAGCTTGAAGATCAAACTAGCAACATAACCTCTCTCAAAAAAAAGGAACAAAACCACAGCGATCAATGGGCGATCTTATATCACACTACTAGTGGACAATGAGCAAAAAGAAACAGAAGGATGAACGTGATCATACTTTCACAGGTAAACAAAGTTTATCTGTAAAATAGATTTATTGCTAAATGTAGTTCAAAGTATCAATAGAAATCGTGCACGCCATCTGGTCTTTCATTCATTAACTAATTTGATATTTGAAAATATGATTCTGACTAATGAGCTGTGTTAAGTGGCTCTTGGATTCTTATTTTGTTGCTATTCTAGTGAAAGATCTGAACTAACAGAATCTGATGAAAGAAAGAAAGTAAAGCTTCAGTGCTTCTGCACTCAGATATCAGCTTCTCAACCTAATCTCTAGGACAATTCTCTATTTATTTATTACTTAAAAATTACAAGCATCACCAAATCCTATTTAAAAGCTTCCCTGAAGTAGATTTTGTCATCACAAATGGAAGAAGGATCAAGGATGCAGAGTTCCCAATTAGGGAACTTCACTATAAAGTACTCTTCAAAAGTGTCCTGAAGAGTACCAATAAAAAGACTGCACCACTTCCAAACACTCAAATATTTAATTCAAATAATGCATCATTTACTTGTTCTAAGAAAGAAGACAGCATGTCAAAAGATGCAGAAACAATTGCTTCAGTTTTTCTTGGAACTTTCCCTGAAAACATCTGTGGTTAAGCTTTACCAATTTAACGAGAGCAATCCAGGTAGTGAAAAATAAGTATAAATATTCTTAGTCTTTCAAAATAGATCACAAAATACAGCTTTCTTCCAAAACCAGTGCATGTACTATTTCAAGACTGAGCGTCAACAATGGTTCTTACAACAAACCATAAAATTCAGTGTAGAATAGGCACCACCTTCAAAAGGTATCATGACAATTGGTATACTTGGCACAATAAAATTTATTTGTTTAAAATAGTCTTTTGTTGCTAGGCAGAAAAGTAATTTAAAAATAAGGTGAATCCAGCACACAACCAGAGAAGCAGCTCCGTCACTGCATAAACCAACACATTTTAACATCAAATCTTCTGAATCCAGAGACTTGTTGAGGACTTTCTGCAGTTTGATAGCAAATAAACAGCTCTTGTAGGCTAACGAGGCAACTTGATTAACACAATACTAGTTGACTTGCCTAACAGAAAGGCAAGTTACACTTTTGTTCACTTCAATGTGAGTTTTCCTTCAACAGAAATAGTCATAACGTGACTTCACTTTTGTACCAGAGTATGTGGAAGAACTATTTAGCTTGTATTTTTGGCAGCACTCCTCTTCAAAAAAATCACTCGGCACACATTGATTGTGCTCAACAAAAATCAAGGCAATGCTCTGTAAATCCCTGGAAATGTTCCATTCTGAATTTCTAAAGCCGCTTGCTTTGGGTATGATGAACAAATTGTCTTACAACAGTCTACAGTGTATGTATGGCTGGCAGGAAGGACTTTTAATCTTCTCAGTGGAAGATGGTAGTTTCATCATTTTGGCTCCAATAAAAATGCTAGAACTGCAATTACTTGATAGGCAATTTCCAATTTCAAGCCACATCTGTTTAAAATTTCTTCTTGCTAATTTATTTAAGCAGTGTTATCACAACATTACAAAGAGTGATGGAAAAGTCATTCTGTGTTTTGCAAGAAGAAAAAAAAACAAGATGAAAGAAAAACTGCTAAACACAAAGAAATAAATGCAGCTCAACACAAGGTAGGGAATATAGCAGCACTAAATACATAATACTCCATACACACCAATTCCTCATTACTTAATCATAACAAAACTATGCCAGAACAAAGACTTGCCATAATAGTCTTCTTTTAGAAGTAAAAAATTAAGTCAAGTTGTGAGTGATGATTTATATTTGGTTTTTTTCATGTTGTTTGCCTTGCTGGGAATAAGTATGTACTAGGTGCGTTTTTTTTTCACCATTTCACAAACCACAGGCTGAGCATTGGTGATGTGAAAGAAGTATTCTGTCAACTTTCAACCAAGTGTCCCTATGGAGATGCAGCTGTCCAGCTCACTTCTCTGAGTTTTTGTGAGCATTAATTAGCCTCCGTCGCATCGCCTGGTTCCTGGCCCTGTTTTCTTCATACTGGAAGACAGATAAGGAAATTAATAGATCAGCTGTTATCATTAAACAGATAAGCCAAATTTGAAAGTGTAGAGAGCATTTATTACTCGGAAACAGAAACAATATCTTTCACAGATGCATTAGAAATGCAGTTCTTGTTAATATCTATATATTGGTTCATTTTTGCTTTGAAATTAACATTTGATTAAAATACATGTTTCTAAGTTTGAGGTTATTAAGCCAAAGAGTATTAGAACATTCTAATAAAGAAGATTCAGTTAATCTTACTGAGAAAATTATACAGCCGTCTTATGTACGACAGCTACACTTCACACATGAACTAGGAAAAAAGTTGCATCGGTGCTATTCTAGAGCACAGGTCTGGCTCTTCTCCTTTTAAAAGATACTGATTAATGTAAGTGTGCCTGCCTTCTGAAATATGAATTTGTCATCACAGACTTGGTCTATTTTTGATCTTGGTCATTAATTATATGCACAGATATAGCAGTATATCAAGATGAAAGGAACAAAGGCAAATTTGGGTTGAACGAGGGTAAGGTTTTTAAACCATTAAAAAAAAAAAAACAAAAAAGAAACACAACAGAGATGGGACTCCAGTGAAAAAGGGAATCATGCATGTATCTAAACTGTGAAGGCTTTCTTAAGAAGATCATGCTTTCAAGTATGCCCCTGCACTAGCAAAAGCCTGAAGAGCCTAACTTTCTTTCATTGCAGCCAAAAAGGAAACCCTTTCATGGCTAAAATAAATTAAAAATTAAAAATCAATGCATGACTTGGTATATATTTCATGAGAAGCAAATTATTCTTGGCCTTAAGTTAAAGCGTATTTGTTCAATTTTTTAATAATTGGTATCAAGAATAAAACTCAAGTAACCCACAAACACTCAGTTCTCTATAAGATGTAATAAACTACTAAGGAGATTGATTTTGGAAAGGATTTGCAGTTTTTCGTTCATTATACTGATTGGTTTACAAGTGAAATAATGGCCCAAAACATTACTTATCATTTACAGAGTGCTTAACTTTTTCCTGTGCCAATATTTTTTTTTTCAATAACCCATCCATGTTTTTTAATATAGGATGAGAACAATGGATCTTTTAAAGTTACATCTGTACCTATTCTATACTTGTGAACAGCCTTTCAGGGTCTTCCTAGTAATGGAGTATCAATGTAACCATATTTTAAGGCAGCAGACAAATACAGCCATCAAGAACTCCTTTTAATGTAAAGGCTTCGATGGAACAAAGAAAAAGAAAATCACACAGAAGTCAACTGTACTTCACTATTTTCCAGATCTGTGCTACAGTTTTTATAGGAGAAAAAATAATTGGTATTTGACACAAGCAGAAGAAATTAATTCCCATGGACTGACAAAGGGAAAAGAAGGGACCCAAACTGTTCTGGCTATCATGCACTTGAAGTCATCTTTTTTAGACACAATTGTGAAAATTATGTCAAAATTATTAAGTAGAACTTCAAGTTAAAAGGTGTGTGAAAAGTTAATTTATGTATTCTGTCATGTAGGCATGACGACCACAAATATAAAGATCAGTTGATGCTCTTCTGAAAATGTGCTCATTAGCTAATTAATCTACTTAAACTCCTGGAGCCTTCCATTCCTTCCTATCTGCAGATATAGTATGGCGACGAGTAGGTCCTAAGCAGCAATGTTTTCATTTAGGGCCTAACTCAGCAACTCATCAAGTAGCTTCAGTCAGCATAACTGACTTCAGTAATAGGTGTTACTCATGTAGAAGTGACCATTACTGTTTTATATTCTATTCTGTGCAAATACCACTACTAAAAAAAAAAAAAAAAAAGAGAAAGTCAGAAGCAACCTGTGAAATGTCAGTCCCTATTTGCCATATTTGTGTGGTTAAAACATGTTTGCCTATTTTTATATAACCAAAACCAGACCATGTCATTTGTTAAAGTCAGATTTTACCTGACAAATTTATCAAAAAGTTTAAATTTGCTCTCAAATGCCCATTCTAGAACGTCCTTACAATTCAAGGCCTATTTATTGATTTGCACTGTTCAGTAAAAAGCAGCCCTGTTTCTATTCCATGGACTTTTTTTATTAAGCATTTAACTCGTAGTAAATTTGTTTCTTACCTCCTTCTTTAAGCACTTTCGCATCTCACGGTCAATATCATTGCAATGGCCAAAAAATTTCAAAAAGTTGTGCTGATAAGTTAGGGAGAGAAAAAAAAAAATTACAATTCAAAGGTTTCTTCCTCTGAAGTGCTACATTTCTTAGAAGTCACTTGCATTTTGCAACATATCCTGTGTGTCTTTTCCTTTCCTCTTTTTGTGAAAAATTATGCTTTGTAACTGTTTTACTGAATAGCTAGAAATTAGAGCTACGCCTGAACCTCATCTGAGCCACCCCCACCTTGCTGAAAGTTGGAGGTACTCACCATGTTGTATAACCAGACTAAAACAGGATACCTAAGCTCAAACTATGAAGTCTAAATGTAGAGCATACATTTTCTTGATCTAGGAATCAGTCTTACAACTTTCACTCACACTAGCTTGAATAATGTACAAAACCCAAATATGCTGAACTCCACTGTGTGATACAGAAAGATGCAGGGAAATCTATGGGCATCCTGGAGGCAACATCCTCTGTGCTTCAGTTTTCATTATTTCTTCACGACCTAGAGAGGCAGAGGACTTGATGCTACATCATCCCAACCACATGAAGAATGTGTTGTTGGTCCAAAAGATGCAGGCACTAGGTTTAAATGACTGAAATGTCAGAACCAGTATTAAAAACAAGGGGGGGATTAAGTTTCTCCAGATCTTGAGGTTAATAAATACGATGCATTTACCATCTTAATGATGTGGCTCAACTGTGGGCCTTATGCATACTTAAGTGTTAGTTTGTGAAAAACTGAAGGCATTGTCCTCACGAAGGCATTCCCCAGCTAACCTGATGATATTCACCATAAAAATGGTGAATTCTTGGCAAGGATTTCCTGAAGTGATTACATATTATCAGTCATCAAATCAATCTCAGAATGCATTCTTCTAAAAGGACTACTTTTGCAGAGTGATGCTTGCTCACATGCCCAGAATCTTGTAGCAGAGCATCCAAGCAATTCAGAAGACCTGAAGGAATGGAGGTTTTAGTAGATATTTACAGCTATACAATCAACAGAGATGATCTGACCAATCTTTTAGACAACTAAGGAAATTATAAAAAAAAAAACCAAACACGAAGAACAAAACAGATGAGAATGAATTCTTCTTCTTCTGTGTTTCAGAGGGAAACATATGTGCATTTCTGTAGCTGATGATCAGCTAAATGGATTTATACAAGTAATACAGGAACACTATTAAGAGTTCAAACAGTGGACAAGATTTGAGCCAAGAGAACATGACTGAAAGTAGGAGTGAGTTAATAAAGATTATGAGAAACACTTAACTATAGCAGTGCTATAATTAGCTTGTTTATACCTCTCTGCTTTATAAAGGGCATCAGATGAAACTCTGAAGCAGTTGCATGTGGTAAGTGGTCACTTTATTGCAAGCTGATCTTGGTTTTACAACATTTTCATTTTAGCTAATAGAGATTTAATTTTGTATTTTATTCCCCTTTCTGCATGCTAAATTTCAAGCTAACTCCACTCTTACTAGCGCATACAGTGAGTGAATCTACAATTCACTGAATCTACAATTATTTAGCCAGATTCCTAAGATGTCAACTTTCGGTTCAGATTATGAGGAAAAAAGAATCAGTTTCTCAAAAATAGTTATTACGCATATTGCAGTGATACAATTGCAAGACAATATGCATTTCTTTCAGCTGCCACCTGTAAAAATAAGTCTCTTTAAAGCATGCACTTGGCACCAGAGTACAGTTGTTAAAAAAAATAAATAAATAATGACATCGAATAGGAATCCCATTAACCTCTCCCCACTAGGTGCAAAATGTGATATAATAGGCAAGTTCTAGATTAGGAATAAAGTAAATCAAACTGACTTTTGTGAAAATGCCCAACACAGGACACCCAATTAAAAAAATAATGCTTTGTACCCCTCAGGAATATTTATTTAAATTGTAGATGAAGGTTTTTAGGTCATTTTGGCATTATAACAAAACAGCAGGTAGTCACTGATAACTGATTAAGGTCACTGATTTTTCAGATTTCAGTGACTTCAATTTTAAAAGAAGATTTCAATACATTCCCCTTGAATTTTAAAATAAAAGGTATTGCTTCCTTTCAACTGAGTGTGAAAGAAGCCATCTTCACCCTTTCTGTTCTGAGACTGCTAGCACAAACACCCTCTCATAATTGAGCACAAGACTGACAAAAGTAATTCCTCTTCATGTAAAGATCAACTTCAAACAAAACCCAGAGAATATAATCCTGTGCATGACTGTATTATTCCTTTGAATCACTTGCTGCCAAGGAATTCAAGTACACCTTTTAGTTCCAGTTCCCTCTTCAACACAAGGTAATCTAATAAAGTACATTATACAAAATGCCTATGATGCTGGTATATTAACATTCATTTTTATTTAAAAGTCAACCATTACTTTCAAGTAGTAAATGAATATTTCTGGATTCTCTGGTCGAAGCATAGAAAGTCCAACTATGTATGTACCAAAAAAATAGTACAAATCTGAGGGTATTTTCTTTCCTGACTGGTTTTGTTATCACGGTTATGAAAAATTAATGACAACATTTTAATTTTGTATTGCCTATAGAAGTTTTATTCTCCTCTTAACTGATGGTATTTTTATTTAGCAATCCTATTGATACCATAGTAGTTAATGTACAGGAAGAGTCTTCTCACTTAATTCTAGCTACTCAAAGCTGGTAGCTACATTACAATATTAAAGTTGTTTCAAAAAAAAACCCAAAATACCCCCAAAACTCAAAACAAGAAACCTTTAAAAAAGTCTCTACAATCTCTCAAATTACCTAAAGCACTTTTTGGCAAATTAAAATTTCACAACTCAGAAGAAAATCGTAACTCTTAGATTTAATACAACTTTTAGTTTTAAAGCTTGGGGATGTTGTGTACAAAAACCTTCGTATCGTAGGTTTAAAAAATTTAGACAGTTGACGTGGTTTAGCCCCAGCCGGTAG